ACAAGTAGTTTTGGTTTTTTTTTTTCTGGGGGGGGGGGGGGGGGGGTCAAAAGGTCCCCCTTCATCAGAGCTTGACAAATGCTACTGATAAGAAATATACACAAGACTAATACATAGTGATCCTGCAAATTTTACAAGGCAGTGCAGAGTACTATAATTATGTGCAAAGTGCAGTAACCCTTAGCAAGCAACCATCATGTATCATTTTGCTTATATGACTATGCTCATCTGCAATAAGATTATATGCTATAGAGTTTTGCACTTTGCACATAGATATTGCACTTTGGTTTACCTTATTATATATGTCTGTGCTGTATGTGCCCATTGTCTATTATGTTTATATTGCTTATTATAAGTGGGTTCACTGATCTTACATAAACTAAGAAATAAACTGCTGACTTATTAAATAATTGTTATTGAATAATGCAGTTATGTGTTGCTTTCCAAACTCTGCTAGTATTGGCTTTTGCTAATAATATCTTTGGATAAATCACTTGGCCACTATGTAAATGATCCCAAATGGCAGGTTACATCTTCAAGTGGCCATAAATGGCGCAGTTGCTGCTATCAATGCTCCTACTTTCAAGCTTTACTTGAAACAGCTAAACTTTTCTGTATTGCTATGGAGCCATAAGCATCGCCCCAGGGGGTCATTCTTACACATATGAAACTTGTTTTAAAATTTGCCTGTGGGCATGTCCCTCCTTTGGAACAAGTGGTTTGAGGATGGCCGTGTTCTCTAGACTGTTTAAGAGATGTGCATTTGGAGGAACTTGCTGAACTCGTTGCTTCGGCGGTTTGTCCAAATTCGAAATAACAAATTATTATATGCCTTAACCTCCCTGGCGGTATTCTCGAGTGTAGCTCGGGGTTACTTTTCCACACCATAAGCGGTAACCCCGAGCTACACTCGGGAATGCCGCATAGCATTTACTTACCTTGTCCCTCGAGCCGCACTGTGTTCTGCGGCCGATGCCAGCTTCCGTCTTCCAGGTTCCATCCCTTGCGAGCGTACGCGTCGCAGGGGGGTGGAACCGGCAGCATATTTAAAAAAACGACAAAGATGAAAACAATTAGAAAAAAAAAATAGTCCGAAAAATGAGATGAAAAAAATATAAAAAAATCATACCACCAGGCATATGTGGGCATATATTAATTTGTTTTGTATGGGCAGGGCCATCTTACTGTCTCCAACATGGCGTCGCCCATACATGTGTATGACTTCCCCTGATGCCATGTGATGCCATGCGCACCGCCTCCAAGATAGACAGCATATGCTAGTGGTCAATATGGCCACCACGCATTTTGTTTTTTAAATGTTGCCTCCGATTTCGAAACAGCATAATTATTTGTTTCATCAAACGAAATGAATGAAAAGTTTTCTATGCTGTGCTCATGTCTATTGTTTATTGCTAAGCAATTATGTTTCCGAAGAATGAGAACTATGTACAGAACAAGATGCACACAATGCTTTAGAATTACTAAAGAAGTAGCAGTTGTGCTCACCTTGAAAAACCCAATAATGCCCAAGGGAAATTAAAATAAAAACAATTTTTCTTGCATATAATAGGACGATATAATTGAACCTGTACAGCTTCATTCATTTTGCAGTATGAAGATGATCTACTCATTTCCTAAATCAACCCAAATTTGTGTCACTGTAGAACTTCTACAGTAATATTTTATATTTTTGTCTCTAGAGTCCGGCGTTGGCCTGGGAATTGGCTTGTGTAGTGTTCCAAACTGTGGAGGCATTTCTGGAATATTTATCCACACTCTTTCTCCAGGGTCTGTGGCCCACATGGATGGACGGCTCAGGTAGTGTTTTTAATATCTTAATAGCAATCCTCTGAGGACCTACATTTATCTTCGGAAGAAGCAATATCGCTGGTGGTTTTCTATAGTAAATATAAGTAGTGAAGTGAGATAAACCATAGCAGAGAATAGATTTCAAAGTGTAGAAAGACTAATAAAAGGTGACTCCACATTAGCCTTTGCCAGTTTTTTCCTGTTTCTCTTTGCATTTTACGATATGAAAGCTAATTTTGTCTACATGTTCAGTTTGCTTTGTGAACTGCTACAAGTTCCTCATGTTTGTGCTGTAGAATGCCATTGCACAAACTTTGCTCTAAACTTCTCCAATGAAGTATGTATGCAGGATGTCAGAAACATGTATCATTTGTTGACCTGTATGAAAAACAGAGTTGATCTTAGAAAAAAAAAAACATTGTGCAGGGCAAGTAAGATGAGAATGATTCAAGACATTTTTCTTGGTATATCAGCTAAATGTGTTTCTTGCTTTACTTCTAGAAAAGGTGATGAGCTTGTGGAAATAAATGAACACACTGTCACTAACAAGCCACTGAATGAAGTCTATGCACTTCTAAGTCACTGTAACACTGGAGCAGTCATTATCCTCATTAGTAGACACCCAGACCCACAGGTAATTGTAAGCATGTGGCATGCTTTTTATTAGAGACACTATAACAGCTGTGTAGCTAGAATTACTTTTGTTTATAGAGTTTAAAGCTAATGAACCATTCTTTCATTTTATTTTGTTTATTTATGTAATAATTTACCTTGCAAAATATAAAGCGGCCTCTATTAATCAGCATAGTGTTATAGCACTAAACTATAACCAGATTACTGTTATCCTAAATAAAGCCCTTACAGATTATTACTAAGTATGGCTTTACATCCATGTGTCTCCATTTTCACGCATTTGTTTACTTCTTTGGAGGTGCCTTGCCATGCGTTGACAGGCACTGCCATTATTTTAAAATCTTCCTTCAAAAGTTCGTCTGAGAGCTGAAATAAGTACACTGGCAACCCTGACAGTTGGCACTCCTTGAAAATAACTGTTTTGGGAGAGAGCTAAATTTTGGGGTCTACTTCCGCTTTCAAATATTTTATTGCTGTCTTTTTCCACATTGTGTCCTCATCTAAAGGATTTGACCCCTTTTCCGTTTTGTTAGCTATCACTCAGATATAAAGTAAGCAAATTCTTCCCCCACAAGGACATTCAAACAGAGGTTTTAACTTTTCTCCACTCTGTCTTCAAAATGGCCGGAATTTTAATGTTAATTGATTTGGTCACATGAGAATTTTAGGCTAAAATCCTCATGTTTAGATCATCAAATTAGCAGAAATAAATAGGATCAAGCATGGCAACTCTTCAGCAGGTATAAATGTTGAATTGTTAATAAAATAAATAATTAATTTAACAAAACAGCAATTTTTAATATGAAATCTAGGCTAATGATTGTAACATTGGCTGCATTTTAAATAATGTCACTGAGATTTGGATTCTTCTACTGAAGAATGAAAAATGTACATGGTGCCCTACTGTTAGTGAAAGTAATTTGGTCAGGTGGAAGAGGGGAGCATATGACCCATGTGAGAGTAATTGGACTTGAGCATCCAAGTGCTGGCAATAAAACCCTGGCAGAGGTTCTAAACCTGTGGTTTTGGCAGCACCACTGCTGCTAGATAAAAATGAACATTAGAGATGAGATAAAGTTGAAACACTTCTTAGAGGGACAAACGCATATCCATTGCAGGACTCTTTATTGTAACCAATATTCTTCATTTACAGGTCTCTGAGCAGCAGCTGCAGCAAGCTATGACTGAAGTTATGGAAAAAGAATATCCCCACTGGAATATGGAGGGTAATGCCTGACACACTTTTAATGGAGTCATGTTATTCTTGCATGGGATTAATGTGTTTAATATGTACAGACATGTTTTAAATGGTGGTCCAGATGGCATTTACTACATTGCCGCAATCGGCACCCGAAGGATCTAGCCGTAGCTTCGGCCGATCCTTTGGCTAGCTTCGGCCTCAGGACTCCACTTCGGTTCAGTAGAACCGAAGGGTTGCTGTACGGGCTATTCACTATAGCCTGTACAGCTCCCAAAGTTGGCCGAGCGGCTCAGCCGAGCCGAAGGCATATGCTTCGGCTTGACTGAATTTAACACACAGCCGGAGCAGGGGGAACAGTCTGCCGAAGCAAACTGTGAAAAATAAATAAACACAGCGTGGGGTCCTCCTCCCAAACGTTATAAATGTTAGGAGGGATCTCCATTTAAAAATAGAAAAAATGCCATGACCAATCCTAGCCTGTCTCCCCGCTGATATCGGCCAATTCCCTGTTTATTTTTAATGTTTTTTTTTTGCTGCTGTCTGAATACAAAGGGAAAAAAAGCATCAGATAAAAGGGAAAGCATTAGCTCCATGTTATCTGCTGATTCCCCTGTTTATGTTTTTTCTTCTATTATGTTGACAGCTGCCGCAGGCTGCCGTCAGAGTAAAGAGATAAAAAACAACAAATAGCATAGGAATGAATAGCTAGGCTGCTATTGGCCATTTCAAATTGGAATAGCCAATAGTAGGCTGGCTATTGCACCCGCCTACTGCTGCTGTCAATCATCAGAGGTGGACCTGATGGAGAAATTCAGGTCCACCTCTGCTGATTGACAGCAGCAGAGGTGGACCTGAAGCCAGCCGAAGCAATCCGAAGCAAGCCTTTCGGCAGCTTTGTGAATAACCCTCTATATGTTTTTCTAGCACATCTATCCATTGCTAGCTGAATTAAAAAAAAATAGACATCTAATCAGTGCCCCCTACATTGCCAATTAGGAAGGGAGGATATTAAGAGCTTTAATTTCCTGGAAAGTTTGGCAAAATTTGGAAATGTCAAAAGGGAATGCAAAATTCATGTGATTTTAAAGTAGTATTAAACTCTCAAACTGTTTTTTTTTTAAAATAATGAACCTAGATTAAACAAATATATTTTGCCCAGCTAAGTATTTTTTCAGGTTTGTCCACACACTTACAGCCATCATGTTTCCAAACAGTTGACTCCAACTCTCTCAGCTTGGCTTCCTTGAACTTCCTGTCCAGTAAAAGACCACATGGGACAAAGCAGCCTCCAGTAGTTGTCCATCTACTAGCTTGGAGAAGGGAGGAGAGAGGAACAGCGAGCAGGGAGCAGGGGGAGGGAAGTGTCTTGTCTTCCCGTGCCTGTGTGTTTGTGGAGACACGCACAGCTTACTAGCAAACACAAGGGTGGCTCCATAAGACCCTGCAAGGGCAAGGAGTCACCCTAAAACAGGATATCAGGGCCAGTGCTCAGAGGAACAGCTTATTTTGTAGAAAACTAACATTTTTAAACATCATGAAGCAGCATCCATTGTAAGTGATTTAATCAGCATTTGAAATAGCTTTTAAACCTTTTGACTTTAATATCACTTAACGGGGCAGTGGGCCTTAAATTTTCATTCACACATCAGTCCTTGGAACATTTCATGTGCTCGGCCATTTTACTGACATAAGCATAATCTTTAGTCAATAATGTTCTACCATGCTAATACAGTAAAGGTTAAAAATAGACATGTAAATTTAGTTTAATTCAGAATGGATATTCATGCAAATTTTGTTATATTTGCACATTCGGATGCATCCAAATTTTTTGAATTTGAACGAGTCCAAATGCAAATGAATGCGACTGGTTCTTTAAAGAAACTTTGGATCCGTCCAAATTTCATTCAAAGCTAAACTAAATCAGATATGTGACTGTTCTCTGGCCAATCAGATGATATTTTCGGGCTGTTGGGGGTTGCATTACAGGCACGGTCATGTGACTTTGTTCCTGGAACGAAAATTCGGACAGATCTGAAATCCGAATAATGAAATGAATCAAATTTTGGATCCGAAATCCAAAAAGCGAAAGAAATAAAAATCTGAATTGATCTGAAACAAAACAAAACACATTTTTTTGCGGGATTACCTGTCTAGTTAAAAACACCACCTTGAATTTATTGACTATACTCCATGCGGCACACTCCAGTGTTTCACTGCTTCTAATTGATGGGCCCTAGGATACCACACAGAATGCTCTTTTATGATACATCGTTGCTGTCAGATATTTCCGGCAGAGGAGAATGAGATCAAACCTTGCAGCAAAGCCATACTGTTTACATTGGCAGGCATCACTGCAGACAGGCTTTGTTCTTTCAAACTTACTTTGAGGGTTACATGGCTCTTTTGGTGTTACTGACCATCCTCTGTGTTGATTGAATACTTTTATTAGTAAAAAAAAAAAGATGTTTCTCAGTGAAATACATTTCTAGTAAAAAAATATCCTACTGTAGATTTCAGACAGTTTGTTCCTCTTTTGCTGTTCATTATTTCAAAATAATTGCACATACTGTATGTGTGCCAGGCAATAGACTATACTGGTATATAATGAAAATGCAGCTATTGTTAAAGTTAGCTCCATTAAGTATTCACATTTATACTGCCGTATATCGGCTGAAATCAGCCATACATCGGGTGGCTTTGGGTCGGCCGAACATGCTCAGCATGTTCAGCCTACCCGAAGTGCAGGAGGAGTTCGACTTAGCCGATCCAACATCTGGATCGGCTAAGCCGAAACTCCGGCAGGCTACTCGCTGCTTTTCGGTCTATTCTTATAGATGCTGCACAGCAGTGAGTGAATAGCCGAATGCCGCTGATCGGCATTGGGCTCGGCTGTTATGTTTGGTCCCTCTGTGGAACCAAGCAGAACAGAAAAATTGTTTAAAAAGTAGAAAAAAATAAATAGAAAATTATTGTGCGGAGCTAGCAGTGACAGCTAGCTCCACCCCAACAGTTTTCTATTGGCCGGCGGTTCTGCTGCCATCAAAAAAAGAAACAAGTAACTCCCGGGCACTCCGGGAGTCTCCCGCTCCCGGCCGCCAAGGAGAGAAACACTGCTTTTTCTTTTTTCTTCTTTATTCTGACATGGAGCCGTGTCAGAATAGAAAAAAAAATTAAAAGTGAATAGCCGAATGCCACTGAGCAGCATTCGGTTTGGCTGTTCTGCTGGGTCCCTCAGAGGGACCGAGCAGAACATAAAAATAGTTTAAAAAGTAAAAAAAAAAATAGAAAACGATTGTGCGGAGCTAGCAATGACAGCTAACTCCGCCCAACAGTTTTCTATTGGCCGGCGGTTCTGTGTGCCGTCAAAAAAAAAAAGAGAAAGAAAACTCTCCCGGGCACTCGGAGTCTCCCGCTCCCGGCCGCCCAGGAGAGAAACACTGATTTTTCTTTTTTTTTTCTTTATTCTGACACGGAGCCGTGTCAGAATAGAAAAAATAAATAAAAATGATGCCCATAGGAATGCATTGCTAGATTCCTATTGGCTATTTCAATTTGCAATAGCCAATAGTAAACTAGCATTGTACCCGCCCTCTGCTGATGGACCTGATGGAGCACTGCAGCAGAGGGCGGGTGCAATGCTAGTTTACTCTTGGCTAATGCAAATTAAAATAGCCAAATAGCAGCCGGTAAACTCCCGGAGCACCCGGGAGAGTTTGCTGTCTAGAGATCAGTGTCCCTGGTTAGCTGGTAACCAGGGACGCTGATCTCTCTGCAAGTGGCCGGAGCCAGCCGTAAGATCACAGCTGGCTCCGCCCAGCTGTCAGAAGCAGGCTGTTGGCTGGCCAATGGTCGGCTGCTCGACTGAGCCGCTCGGCTAAGTTCGGGAGCTGTACCGGCTATTGTGAATAGCCCGTACAGCAGCTCTTCGGTTCTACTGAACCGAAGGGGTCCTGGGGCTGAAGCTAGCCGAAGGATCAGCCCAAAGCTACGGCTAGATCCTTCGGCTGCTTCGTGAATAGACCCCTAAGGGAGCATCTGTTTCAGTAAACATTTCCTCTTTTATATCCAACATAAGCTTGTAAATATTCACAATATGGATGCATTCATAAACAATTCGCAGAGCCATGCGCCATGCAAAACTGCATATACATTCATTCTGTGCGAATGGAGGCAAAGACAAATGTTATTAACATATTTTATTCCCAGGCCTAATATAAAAGAAGGCAAATACTACATTATGGCCTCCAGCAGGGGAGCTTAGATCCGGCTGCCCATAGACCAGGGGCATCCCAAGGCTGGGTGACACCCGGAGCGGTAACTGAGTGTCACTCAACCGAGACGTCATCGCGCAATGCTTGGCAGTATTCTGATATCTGCCGGCGGCCATCTTGGCGAGCAAGGAGAGGACAGTCTCCCGGCGGGATAAGGTGTGCCGCTGGGTCCCCTCCTCTCTCCTGATACTGTCGGGCGTTCGGTCCCGACTTTTCAGAGGGGGGTGACACCAAAATGACTGTAAGTCATTTTGGTGTCACCCCTCCAATGGTGTCACCCGGGTGTGGGCCGCACCCCCCTTGTGACGCCACTGTATGGTAACACTGGGCTTCTGAAAGGGGCCGAATGGATTTGTTTTTCAGAACATGTAGAAATGATAACTTTCATTGGAATGATTTACTACATATATAACCCAGTCTGGCTCATGTGTCCAGGGCACCACATCCCACTCATTCCAATTATTTAATTGGAATGACTGACATTGGAGGCAATACAACTGTTCTGGAGTAGATACAAACACCTAATGGCAAGACTGGGAAGAAAGGATGTGCTCTGTATTCTCAGCATTAGGGCCCTGTCTTGCCTTTTCTGATATCGATATCCTTACATTATTTTACATTATATTGGGTTTTATTGTAATGTATTTTGCAGGTGATAGGAAGATGGCGTCATGCTGCCATGGGAAATATCAATGTGAGAGCTGCATAGAGAAGCATGCTGCATACCTATATTACAGCCGGAGGGAGCAGAGGCAAATGGTTCGCTCCAGCAGTGACAGCAATTATAATCCTAGGCCAATGAACCAGAACGCGGACTCCTGCCAACTGTATGGTCTGAAAAGTCGGGTGCACAGCGTGGACGTGCCTGTGCGAACAGAGCCCATACAGACTCATTACTCTGCTCCTGTAAGGCTGGGAGATTATTCACCTACTGCCATTGATGCTTTAACCTCAACTCAGGTCCTCTGCAAGAAAACTAGTAGCCACTCTGGAGAGATCATAGTTAAGAAGTTAACATCAAAACCAGCTCCCCCACCTAGGAAATATTATAAGCAAGACTCAAAGGAAGATGTAAGTACAGTGTATCAAAATGTACTGGTATCATTATTATCTGTAAAAAGTGCTACAACTACAACCATAACATTACTCATTGCCTGTTTGGTAATAAAGACAATCATATCAAGACTAAGGGGTTTATTTACTAAAAGCAAATAGGCTGTGCCCATTGCAAGGAAATTTGTACTTAGCTTAGTGAATGAGGTGAAGTTCTGCTGACTTTTATCATCCAATCATATGCAAACTAAAATACTTTTCTAATTTTTTTTATTGTGTATTCTTTGCAAAGCGAATTTTCAGCACATTCACTAAACTAAGTGAAATTTCCCTTGCACAGTGAACAGCCTATTTGCCTTTAGTAAATCACTCCCACTGTTCATATTTGTCAATGATCCTTCCCAAAATCTTTTTTTAAGGCAGTGAGAAAATGACAAATGGTTCAGATATTAAACAATGCTGAGCTGTTCACTTCAACCGCGAAACAAACTCAGTTCCTCTAAATCGTTTATATATACAAATGACCTTTGTCTTAACTATGATACACAGCGCCCTCAATTGACATACAATAGACCAAAAAGGTCAGGGCTTTAATGGTGTACCCATATGACCCATATGCTTGAATAAAACAATTACATTTATTGGTATCATGATTAAAATAGCCTAAGGATTCAAAAACTATGAAGTTTAAAAACATAATAAAAACACGAATATCAAACGCCTAGTAGAAGGCACCGATGCTCGCACCATCTACACATCAGTACAATGCAAATAGGAATTGCAACATTATTGAATTACCCTTCAAATCTCCATATACGTATCACTTTCAAAGGCTTGTTGTAATGATACGAGAAACTGAGAGTGGTGCAGTCAGTTGGCTTCCTTCCTTCTCTCAACGCATTTCACCCCAAAATAAGGGAGCTTCTTCAGGAGGTAGGCGTACAGAGACAAAACCCCTCCAGACCGAATTCTAAGTAGGGGGAACAAGCCACTTTCCTGTGTCTTGATGGGGGGCCGTGGAAGAGGACAAACACACCACTGGGCAGTGACGAGCAAGATCACCAATAAATAATCAGGTCTGATAAATCTTAGGGGGCTCCTTCCATATGTGGGAAACAACTGCAGGGCATGCCCAGACCAACTCATGGAAGAAGCCCTGTAGGTGTTTCACACATATGGAAGGAGCCTTTCATATTCATCAGCCCTGATTATTTGCATTGTACTTATATGTAGATTGTGTGAGCATTGGCACCTTCAACTAGGCGTATTGTATTCTTGTTCTTATTGTGATTTTTAACTACATAGTTTTGGAATACTTAGACTATTTTAATCATGGTATCAAACTATCAATAAATGTAATTGTTTTATTCAAGTATATGGGTACACCTTTAAAGGCCTGATTTTGTTGCTCCGCTAAATCTTTTCCAGCTTTTAGTCTCATCCATATATTGTGTCCTTTTGCCACAGTGTTTCCTTGATATAAATGTGTCTAGTGTGCATAGTTTGGGCATGTTTGGATGTCATCAAGCAATATATTGACAAACTCAAGACACCTAAATCAGATCCAGAGGGTCAGAAAATATCAAATGGTTCCCCACTATCCTCATTTGGTGATGAGTGTTATGTCATGAATTGCTATGTAGGGAAACTCTAAAAAGAGACAACTGCAGGCTAGGAAATAGGAGAGTTTATTGTTCCGGCTAAATGACCCGCATTTATATCATAGGGGAGACAGAAAAAGCAGTGACTGGTGTAACTTCTTAACATTGTTTTCTAATGGCTGCTCCTCTTAAAATAGACTGAGAAGTCAACATGATTAAACTTAAGATGTATAGACACTTTTATAAGATGTATATACACCTTTGTATTTGTAATATAAACGGAGTCTAAATAGACTGATTCAATAACTGACAGTACAGAGAGAAACAGCACAGGATGTGGTTTAGCATAGGAAGTTTGAGCTTGTGTGGCATATCACAATAAATATCACATGCATGAAAGGCAGTGTATAGTTACTGAATATACATATAAAACATATGCATATGTACATAAAATTATACAGTCACTGTTAAGCTGTAATAATAGATAACTTTGCCAATTTTGTTTTATAAAAATGTAGTAGGAAGTAGAAAACGTGGTAGGAATCGAGCATTTTGTATAAACCTGTTAGACTGATTATCCCATTGTCCATGTTCACAAACTATCTGCCATCTCTTTATTCCACAAGGTCAGGGTAGATGGGCACAGGATGGGAGTCGTTACATATAGCACAGCAAAGGACTTGTTACATATAGCACAGCAAGGGAGTTGTTACATATAGCACAGCAAGGGAGTTGTTACATTTAGCGAATCAGGGGAGTCGTTACATAAAGCACAGCAAAGGACGTGTTACATTTAGTGAATCAGGGGAGTTATTACATATAAAACAGCATGGGAGTTGTTACATTTAGCAAAGGAAGGGAGTCATTACATTTAGCATAGAATGGGAGTCGTTACATTAAGCACAGCAAGTTGGTTGTTTCATATAACACATATAACCAATATAGTTTAAGTGTATCTAAACCCTAAAACCAAAATTTAATATATTGCAGCTTACAAGTCCTTAGAAGTAGTGGTTGCGTTTAGTTTTCTTTTCTTTTCAGCTGGAGATTGTACCAATAACACACTTCCTATCCTAGGGTGACAACTCACTACACTATACTTATAGAGTAGAAACATTGTAACCTAGGTCGCTTTCCCGATTTGGACTACAAACACCTCCCCTCTTCTCATCTACTTTATATGGGGGAACATTGCTTTGCATTTCGCAGAAGATAGCTGAGAAAGCTGATAACATTGTTTGAAGTTTCAGTTAGTTACAAGCAGACAGGATTTTTGATGTTTTGAATGAATATGCTGCTGTACTTGCAGATAATACATCTAGCCTTAACCAAGAAAACTACTACAGCCATAACATTTAAGGATTGATAAGCTGCAACGTATACATTATTGGGTGTAAATATAATTTAACTATTCAGATCAGTAGTCTGTTAGCAAATATGACAGTAGATTGAAAGTAAAATAGCTATACAATAATATAAAGTGAGCTTGTGACAGTCTACAATAATGATGTGCAGAGCTGCCCCTATAAATAATTATTTTGCAATGGCATTCTGCAGCTATGTTGATTGATCTTTATCATTGATACACATTAACATGGTACATTTTGAGCAGGATCCATGAAAGTTGTACTCGTGGACATATAGAAATAATTTATTGCAGAATGTAGGGAAGAATAATTCATTGCAGGGCATGGAAAATCTTTACAAAGAAGCTAGATGCAGTTTTTGTTACAATGATGTGGGCAGACAAAGGACCCTCACAGAAAATTAGATGATAAAATGTCATTGCTGCAATAAATTTAATCAAATCTTTATTTTGGTTGCAGCTTAGTTTGTACATCAAAGCACATAATGAATTGACACTCAATGAGGGGACTATAATGTAGAGGACAACAGTACTGTATGCCCACGGTGTTTTGTAATGAATGGTTAACACTGAACTAAAATGTTGTTGCTGAGGTTGTTTTTGACATGTCTGTTGCACAGGAAGCAGGAAATTCGATTCTGAAGGGAAACCAGCAATTGACAGCCCACAGTGAGCTAGATACATCCTTATCTTCTGCTGACTCTTCTCATACAACAACTGTTGATCAGATATCTCCTGACTCAGGTATGTCATTGTTTGACCCAAACTTGGTTATTGGACTTCCAAAATATTCACCACAAAAGGGCTTATTCACGAAGGGAAAGCAAAGAACAATGGAATGTGCTAAGGGCCAGAACTCAGTAACTAATCAGAAAAGATACATAAACTATGCTGTCTCTAGTCACATTCTTTGCACACTGTCATTGCACTTTGAATTGCTTTATTTAATAAACCTGATTACCTGATTTACATTATAGTAAAATCCTCTACACCTATGCAATACAGATACCTGCTTTGTAAGCGTTAGTGAAAAATTATAATCTAATGCATTTTTTCAATGACTTTGCTTTGATATGGCATGCTAGTTATGGTGTTTATGTAAAGAATACAGCATAAATAAAAAGAGTTGCAGTTATGACACAGATTAATGAGGACATGCATATTTCTTTATAGGAAAGCGCTCAATTTGTGGGTCACATTGAAATGGTCACTATGCATTATTTTTATTGTTGTACAGGATTTGTATAGTGCCAACAGTTTGCACAGCGCTTTACAAAATAGAGGAAGACAGTACAGTTACAATACAATTTCAATACAGCAGGGTTAGGTGAGCCCTGCTCGTGAGAGCTTACAATCTAGTAGGAGGGGCAAGTGATACAAAACCTAATAATTAAAGGTGCCCCGAAATTAAATTTTGAGACCGAAATTGAAACAAAAAAAATGTCAGGACGAAACCAAAAATTATTTTGATTCCTAATTTTTTTTTAAAAATGTAAATATTTTTATTTAAATTTTTTTTCTAAACTTTTCAATTTTTTTATTTTCAATTTTTTTGTTTATTTCTTTTTTATTAAATATTTCTATTTTTTAACTTTATAGCTGGGGGCTTTGATGAAATATCAGGGGTCTAAACAGACTCCTGATATTTCCCTTTTTTGTGCAGAATCTATGTTGGGCCCTGCCAGCACAGTTGTCCTCCTACCTGGCACCGGGAAAAAGGCCTCCTCCGCTGCCTCGGCACCCAATCAACGTCTCCTCCATCTTCCGTTTTTCCCCGCCTCCTCAGCTACCGTCATCGGGCCTCCAGTCTCCTCCATCTTCACCTCTTCAATTTCCCGGGCGTCCGCCCCATCTCCTGTCTCCGCCCCATCTCCTGTCTCCGCCCCCTGCTGCTCCGTCCCCGTCTCCTCCTGCTGCCGCACAAGCATTGAGCTAGTGCGTCCGCCCCATCTCCTGTCTCCGCCCCCTGCCGCTCCGTACCGGTCCCCTTCTACCACGATGGGCATTCAGGCCCGGAACATACAGCTGACCCTCCTCCGTGTCACAGACTTTACTGCAGTTCATTGTACAAAGTTTTTACAATGAACCGCAGTAAAGTCTGTGACACGGAGCTGGGCAGAGCAGAGTCGGGAGCGCTGCTTCGCCTGCGGCCCGGTAGCATTTGATCCGCGGCCCGGGGGTTGGGGACCACTGCTCTATACTGTACTGAGTGTTCCTGTTCATTCATAAATTGTGGATACAGTATGAGTTACTATGTCCACAATCAATAAATAATAGGAAGTGATCACAATAAATAGGAAGTGATCACTTCCCATTCATTCATAACTGGTACATAGTAACTCATACTATGTCCAGTTATTTACAAACAGTCAGTGATCACTGATCGCTGAATGTTTGGATACCGCTCTCCATCCTGGATCGACTCTCGGCTGATCTGAGCGGGAGCAATGTGGGGAGGAGAGCCCGATCTCATTTGACAGCTGACAGCTGTCTCTGCCCCCACACCGCTCTCCTGATCTGTTACAGAAGCCTGAGCGTGACGGAGCGGGAGGAGAGCTTCTCCTGTGACACGCTCACATCGCTCTCGTCCCCCGCACCGCTCGGCCTCCTGACAGTTTTTCTAATCCATGCTGGAACGCTGCCCTGTGTCAGAGGGGTCACAGAGTAGTGCACAGCAGAGAGGAGAGAAACTAAGGATGCACCGCAATTTCGTCTGAAAGATGGCACTTTCGTAATTTTTCCCAAAGTGCCATTTTTGGATGATATGTTTTGGCGGCCGAAATTCTGGTACATCCCTAGTAATAATTGTGTGGAATAAGTTAATGGAAGAAGTAAAAGGAGAGTTATTATGTTGAGGTGGAATAGGCTTCGCTGAAATTTTTAAGGATTGCCTGAAGGTGGGCAGAGTAGGGGATAAGCAAACAGATTGGGGTAGGGAGTACCAGAGGATGGGTGACACTCTGCAGAAGTCCTGGAGGCGAGCATGGGAGGAGTTGGTGATGTAGCCAGGGGAAGAGTTGTAGAGTTGAAGTTAAGCTCCAGGCTAATGCAGTTGAAGAACATATATTTAAATAGTTTTACCTGTCAAATGATCTGTCATTCTGTTTACCAAATCTTGTGGTTCATACACTCTTGTTAGACAGCACAGCATGGTCTTGGACATACATGCAAACTACACTGCATTTAAGTAATGCAGCCTTGTCCAGGACCTGACTCAGCCTATACCTGGACAATACAGGAGCAGCACCACACTGATGAGATTGCCCATGTGCCATCTCCCCTGTAAGGATGTTTTTGTGTTGGACTGATAGCACTGCAAAGTAATAGAGCTATGATTAAATCAAAGTGCTGTCCCTTGCTTTCCCAGTCCAGAGTATTATTGCAGAGGGAATTGCAGAAGGCTAATTTCAAGACAGAAATAGGTACCTATACTAGTTGTGTATAGAAAAGTTTTATGGTTCTCCCTCCCTTGACATCCTGGTGAGTCATCCATCCATCATATCAGGTTATATTTGGCACCATCACTGAACTGTATTTATTTCTTATGCTTCTACCTATTTGTTTCAAAAAGAGAATCTGTTAATCCTGTCTATCAGAGCTGTCTAGGTTATTGGGATGGAGTCATAAATGGGGATCTTGGCCCAGTAGCCACTCAGTTTGGAGTTTTGGCTGCTCCTGTACAACTTGAAGTGTTTCCATTTCCCTGTTCCTTTCTGCATAATAAAGGTAAATTACAATCCCAACACTCCATTCTGAGTGCCAACTGAGCTAGAAACTATAGCAGGAAGATCTTGCTGCCAGAGCCCCCAAGAGCTGTAGGATGTCAGAATCTTTTATAAGTGAAAATAAGCTTGTGGTTGCACTGATGGGTACACTGGGTACACTAAGGGGGTTATTCTGAAAGCTGCCGAAGTGAAGTGAGCCAAACGACGTTCGGCTATTCACTCTGGCTCAGTATGGCTGATTTCAGCCATACATCGGCTGCCTTCGGTCAGCCGAACATGCTCTGCAGAGGGACTTCAACTCAGCCGATCCAACATCTGGATCGGCTGAGCTGAAGCTCCGGCAGCTCACTCGCTGCCGTTCACCCCTATTCTCATGCCGAGCGGCATGCGGCTCGGCAATTCTGCTACCAAGCAGAATAGAAAAAGAGTGAAATTAAAACAAAAAAAGAGTTAAAAGATAATTTTAAAAATGTAAATAAATAGGAACATTTAAAAATGTTTTAAATAGTCTATGAAAATAACAAAATTAAAAGAGAAAATTAAAAATAATTTTAAAAAATGCCGGCAAAGATGACGGCAAACGAAAAACAATTGGGCGGAGCTAGCAGTGACAGCTAGCTTTGCACAACTGTTTACCATTAGCCGTAACCTGCCATAGTCTTCTAGCAGGTCCCGGCCAATGAATTACAACTGGACGTAGCAGTTATTGTTTAATGACAGATCAGCATCTCCAGGTCATTTGAGGACACTGATCTGTCATTACAACTGGGCAGATCCAGCCGTGAGCTCCGCCCAACTGTCATTTGCGGGGAGAACTATGACGGGCCCTTTGGCAGGCTGTTCTCCCAGCTTCGGCTGTCGCTTCGGCTCAGTCGAGCCGAAGCATATGCCTTCAGCTCGCCTAAGCCACTTGCCCGCCTTCGGCTGCTGTACGTGCTATTGTGAGCCCTTCGGTTCGACTGAAGTGCAGAGGCGGTCGAAGAGAGCTGAAGGATCAGCCAAAGCTACGGCTAGATCCTTCGGCTCTTTAGTGAATAACCCCCTAAATACACTGAACTTTTGAGTTTTACTACTTGATTTTCTTTACACTCGTCAGGTTCCACAGATTCCAGGAAATCTCTTAATTGGTGTAGTGCAGTCAGAGGATAAAAAGTGTTTCTGGGTGAAACCATAATATAACAATCACCCCCTTTGTCTCTATGTCATTATGTGAGTGACAGTTTTTAGTTTACAGAAGGAATATGTGCAGCTGGTATATTCTGAAATTTCTTATCTTTTTATGCAGTTCTCTTTACACAGAAAAAGGGAAATGAATGTTTTCTATGTCTTGTTAGTGGAGTTTGACCTTTCTCAAACTGAAACCCATAATATTAGAATAAATTCACTCAGGGACCCCAAATTGCATCTTTGTGCCATTGTTCGAAAAACCCAAAAGATGTTGGGATTTATTTATTAATAGGCTATTGACTTTCCAAGGGAATGTTCCCTTAGGTTAGTGAATGAGTTAAAGTTCTGCTGACTTCCATCATCCAATCCTGTGCAAGCAGAAATACTGTGTTTTTTAGATTTTCCTTGCATATGATTGGGTATCATTTGCAAAGTGAATTTTCACTCACAAAGCTAAGTTAAAATTCCCTTGCAACGTGAGCAGGCTATTTGCCTTTAGTCAATCAATCCCATGCTTGTCTAGTAGAGTTGAAAAAGTTGTCTAAAATCCTTAGCCTCTTGCTAATGCAGGGACTCTGGTCCGCTAGCAGTCTCTGGTGGCAGTGGATCTTTTAAGAGTGTACACTGAAAATGTAGACTTATCCAGCACTGACTCATTTTGACAAAGGTTATTCTGTCCACAAATGCTGTAGATAATTTTGTACCGTTTGGAGTAATAATGTAATCTGCCAACTTTTTGCACCACGTGAAGGCAGTGAGCAAGTCACACATGATGGGACCATCTTTTCAAGACGTTGTTTATAGATTAGGCTGCAGGCCTCAGATTGCAGGCCCAACTGTAAAGTTCTGCTACTTTTGGCAGCACTGGCACAGGCAATGGAATGGCAAGAAAGTGACAATTCAGTTAGAGTTAAAGAAAGGTCTAACACATAAAAGTGGGATTGAATGAAAAGTTCTGTAATTTTGGTGCAAACAAAAGCTTGATAATGTGTTAGTTATGCTTCCTATTTAGAAGCCTTCAAAAACCAATTCTGTTTTTTTGTAAGGGCTCAAAATGTGAGTATCCAGTAGTCACCCATCTCTTTAACATTGATGATGCCCTTGGCAGTCTGTAAACCAACAAACATGTCTCATGCTGTTTTCTCATTTTCTAGCCCAGTAGAAACCTTTGTCACCATAGGCATAGTAAATGGTGTCCTGTCCTGCAAAAGAGAGGCTGTGTTGGTTATCAAGCTGGCTGAATGGCCCTGTAAAGAAGAGTAGTGTTTCTGGCCATAGCCAATGTTTATGGGGTCAGTAAAAGCATGTGCCATGTGTGGACATGCTTGTGGTAGTGATTGTTCCACCAGAATCTTGGCCAGGTGAGCATTTACATGGTGGACAAGCAGATAACTAGGTGCATATTTTAATTTTATTTTGGGGCTTAATTTTACTCTCTAACCATTGAGTTTATTATATTTTATATGGGTTAAACCAAAATTAAATGAAAAAAATGAAAACATTAAAACAAATATATATGTATACTGTATATCTGCTGCTTCTTTCATTGCTATCCACAACATTTCTGCATTAAATAAGCTGGCACCAGAATGTAGTTAGTGTGAAAATCAGTGCCATACATATTTTCAAATTTGCAGTTTCTTTTTACTGCAGTCTCTGAGAGCTTCTTTTTCCAGAAGCCAATAAAGTTGACTGGCCAAAAAATGTGTGAATGTCAAAATGTTTCAAATAAAAATTTCTACACACCTCCAAAAAGTTTATAATTATGCTTGGTGAATCAACCTCAAAAACAGGTTCTTGGTCTTTATTTTGTGATACATCCAAAATATAACATTCATCTGATATATCCAATGTATTTGGTTTGCTGCATTCAGTTGCAGGTTTGAAGTAAATGTGCATAACTTTGTGAAGCCTGAGAAAGGTGCAGGTAGATTCAATGGGGTTAATTTACTAAAAGCAAATAGACTATTCACTTTGTAATAGGATTTGCATGTTGTAGGGGAATTTTCACTTATCTTATTGAATGTGGTAAAATTCCATATGATTGGATGATGAAAGTCAGAGTTTCACTTCAATCACTAAGGAAACTTCCCCTGCAAAGTGCAAATTCTCTTGCAAAGTGAACATCTTATTTGCCTTTAGTAAATCAACCCCAGTGAGAGGTCAGAGACTAATGCAATGAATACATACCAGCCAGAACATTCAGGTGGCATATACTGCAAAAAGGAATCAGCATCTAGTGCAAAGTAATAAAAAAAACACTGGCTAGTATAGTTAAGAAAACTGGACTTATTTAAAGTCTGAAACAGAAGGACAGCAGCAGGGCAGGGACACAGGTGTTTAGTGACAGAGACTTACATACAGGTGAAACTCGAATAATTAGAATATCGTGCAAAGTTCATTTATTTCACTAATGCAACTTAAAAGGTGAAACTAATATATGAGATAGACTCATTACATGCAAAGCAAGATAGTTCAAGCCGTGATTTGTCATAATTGTGATGATTATGGCTTGCAGCTCATGACAACCCCAAGAACCCCAAATCCACAACCTCAAAAAAGTAGATTATTACATGCAATCAATAAAACAAGGATTGTACATAGAACAATATCGGACCTCTGAAAAGTACAAGCATGCATATGTACTCAGTACTTGGTTTGGGCCCCTTTTGCAGCACTTACTGCAATTACTTTTGCACGATATTCTAATTATTCGAGTTTCACCTGTATAATCATAAACATAATTTCTTGGTGACACAGTTTGTCATCTCGTTTTAAAGTAAACTTGACATGCCATAAAAAGTGCTCCAATTCCTATGTTATTCTTCGCATCAATCACTGTGTCACTGTGTAGCCCTTTTGACCATAGATTCAGTCTGTACACAGGGCCCCTCAAAGTCAAAACTATGTCTTGCCCCCTCCTGACATTAAACTCCGCCTTGTGACATTCAGCCAGAGGCTAAGTAGGCAGTAGAGGCATTTAGCAGTTGAATGTCAGAGGTGAATTGTATTGGCAAAATAAGACATACAGTCTGAGGCTGAGATTCACAATGGTCAAGTTGAATAGCACCTGCTGCCTTCACTGTTATAAGATTAGACACCATTTAGGCCAGATTAGGGTCACAAATGTATGCAAAAATGTAATTCTGAAACAGTTGTTTCTTCTGTTCCATAGGAAATTCGGTTGTGTCTCATCACAAGCCATTGTTAAGAAGACAGGTGTGTGTTGACTACAGCTTTGATACAACTGCAGAAGACCCGTGGGTCAGGATTTCTGATTGTATTAAAAACTTGTTTAGCCCCATCATAACTGAAGACCATAGTCTTATGGATATGGATGGAAATATTAGCACAGGGGAGGATAGCTGTTCCTCTATACAAACAGAACAAGAATGCCAGCAAATGTATGGTGATGAATCCAGTTCTCAGACAGGGGGTAGTGAAGATTTAACTATCCTGAAAAAAGGTCCTCCTGTGGCACCCAAGCCATCCTGGTTTCGCCAGAGTTTAAAAGGAACCAAGAATGTAAATCGCTCATGGGACAATAGTGGTTTTGATAAACCCAAAGAACCTAGTAACATTTCTAGACCACACGTTTCAAACCGAACATCTTCAATCAAACAGAGAATAAGTTCATTTGAAACTTTTAGTAGCCCACACCCAGTAACAAAAGGGAACAACAGGCCTAGCTCTCAGTCTCCAGTGCAGCCTAAAAACCCAGTTCACAAGGAAGTTGAAGTAGAATGTGTTACAGTGTCTTTCAATAAGGTCTCAGTGAACTCAGTTGAAAGTAAAGATGAAAAAGTAATTGAACCTCAACTGGTATCTCCAGAACCGATGGATAATATGGAAGCCAGAGTGTCTTCCTCCCCACCAAAGATTAACATATTGAATGTTAGAAGAAGCAGCAGTACCAGTAATGAGCCCCAGATCTACTCTTCATATGCAGAGTTCACTGAGCCCCTACCATTCAAGACTCCAAGCCAAAGATCAAGGAGCTACCCACTTTCTTCCAGTTCATCAGCTGGTACCACAAAGAAAGGTGAAAACTGCAGCAAAATATATTCTATTAGCAGTCAAGTGTCCTCTGCTCTGATGAAATCATTGCTGGCTTTCCCTCAGTCTCCACTTCAGCAAAGTAAAGACTTATGGCAGAATGAGGCCACTGCAACAGAGGAAAGCCCTTGCAACTCCTTCACTGAAAACCACCTGCCGGACACTGGATTCTCTGTGAAGTAAGAAAAAAAATACATTTATTTTTAAATATGGAGATAGAGCATAAAGAAGTGTCATGGTGGCAAGAACGGGCTAAAAAGAGGATAAAAGCACCAAAGGTTAAAATGAATGCCAAGGATTGATTATGAGTCATTATATTGAACAAGAACATTTTATGACTGTGAAATTCGTTGTTCACCCATTCTTGCAAGTTTATCAATACAGATTTTTTTTTTTAAAGAAAGGAAGAGTAGCAGTAATATCAGAAACAGATGTAGCTTAACAAGAATTTGGTACCATTTCAACACCAGTTTATAATTCATTTTGTGAACACTGGAATTTACTAAAACTTTGTGTGCTATTATACAAATTCTATGCCCCTAGCCTGTTTACACGTAAAGTGACACTAATCCCAGGAGTTAAATCTTACAAATGCATTCATGTACCTTAACTATTAATGAAAATGTAGCTTATTTCTACATCACTGGGCTTTAGATCCTCAAATCATCTCTGAATCAGTGCTGACACTGTCCTTCCTTCTGGAGGGGGGCTACTTTTGTTCCCCATGGTCCCTGTGTCTGTTATAAAGTAGTCACCGCCCCAAGCTCACTCCTGTGATGGACTACAATCTCATGTTTAGTTTACTCATTTGTATTGAAATTGTACTCCATGATGAGCTTGGAGTGTTGGCTACTTTACAACACACACAGGAGCGACCCTCCAGAAGAAAGGACAAAGTCAGTACCAATTCAATGATGAATTGAAGATCTACAGCCGAGTGATGTACAAATAAGCTAATTTTTTTTAATAGTTATGGTACTCGAATGCATTTTTAATGCTTAACTCCTGAGATTAATGTCACAGAGGAGCTTCACCGTTATCTTTAAAATGATAATAGCTAATAATGTACCCTTTTTAATTCTAGCCTCTCTGAGCTAAAGGGGTATGGAATGGGACAGCCGGTAAAAGAGAAGGAAGAGACCATTTCTGAGCAGCCAGTCTTTCTGCCTTCATCTGCAGCCAGTAACAGCCAGTCTGTCATATCTCTACTTCCCATTCAAGAGCTAAGCCAACTAATAGAGGAAGTTAAAGCTCTGGATGAAGAAACACTTAAGGTCTGAAACTGTCTGAAAATATTTTTGTTTTAAAGTTATGCTATATACATACATACATATATACTGTATATAATGCAGTATATTGTGACAGGAGCACTGGAAAAGCCAGTGTAGTTGTGGTAGGTGGCATTGGGAGAGAGTGGCACAGAATCAAAGAAGCAGCCCAAATGAAGATGGGTGAAGTGTGCTTTGTGCCAAAAAAGCAAAAAGCAGCACTAGACATGATCCTGTATAGGGTGGTGCTGCAGAGGTAATGTGAGGGACACATGAGTATGGGGCTGTCTGTGCCTAAACAGAGGGCTCAGACTGAGAGCTGGCTGAAAACCATATATTTTGCTAGATAAAGCCTTGCTTTGAAAGAAATCCTGATGAGTTAAGTGACTTTTGCATTCTCACTGTTTAAAGCTGAACCCCCACAATATCACATGCAATAAGGTGGTGACAAATAGATGTTAACACTTTTAGATTGGTTGAAGCTGAACTTCAGGTAAACAACTAAATAGATATTTGAAATATGTATTAAAGAACTGTTTTGCCTGACAAAGGATTAGTTACTTTGCTCAGCCCAACCTAAGAAATAAACAGCTCTGCCAGACAGGACAGCAAGCTTGAAGACCTTACTTCCTCTACTGCAGTTAAACAATATAGCTATAGTAGCATTAACTGACTGAAAAGTTCAACATATTCCAATGCCTATGGGGCATCTTTAGTGTCAATGACCAGTGTGACTGTAATGGAAATCATTAGCAGACTTTCAAGGTACAATACCCTTTTCTCAAGCTAAATAAACATGAGGTGCATTAAAAGTATCATGTTCAAAGCACATGGTCATTTCAAATACAAACAATGAAGAATAGTTGAAAAAAAATCATGTGAACTAGGTTCAACAGTTGGTGAAAAACAACACATAAATAAATGCAGGGTGTTCTGTTTGTATGCTAGGTAACACTTACAGGGTTATTCACAAAATAATGAAGAGTTTGAAGAAGGCAGGAGAAGTGAACAATCTAGGACAAAATAGCTGATTTGGAAAAATTCTCCCGTTCAGCGTACTTTCCAGCGTACGTTCTGCTATGCTGTCCTAGATTGTTCACTTTCCTGCCTTCTCCAAACTCTTTACCATTTTGTGAAAATCCCTGTTAGTCAGGATGTTAGAATTGACAGACTGTTAATTTACAGTCACAGAAAGAAGTATTCTGGAAAAGTCTGCACTGTTTGTTGGTTGACCAATTTAAAAAAATGTTATTCCATAACTTTTCCTTTTTCAAAATGACTGTGGTCATATATCCTTTTGTTGAGTTTTCTGTTGTTTTCTGTGTTTGTTCCCCGAGTCCTGCTGGCCACTAGTTGCTGCTTGTTGCTGTCCCTGCAGTCCTTTCTAGGTCCTGCTGCCAAAGTGTTGCTGTTCCTCTAGTTGCTCCCTTCATTGCAACCCTCTCTGCTTTATTCCTGCACTGCAGGCCCCCTTCCTGTGGCAAGTATACTCATGGTATTTAGGTGCCTGACCAACAGATCAAAAGCTTGCATCTATAATAATGTAGGTTAGCCAATAAAGGGTATACCTTAAACTCCAAACTTTCTGCAGTAATTGATAGCTACATAGCACAAGACTCTACTATGTCCACAGAAAAGGGACCCTTGCTTATATTTGTAGTGCAGGATAGAGACTGTAAGTCTTGGTTTGTTGGTGCAGGTAACCAAAAGGTTTCTTTGTGCCAATTTGTTCTGTATTTTTGTTAATTTCTGTCTTAGTGAAAGCAGTGTTGTGTATGCCTCCAATCCAGGAATTTGATGACATTCATGTGGTGGTCCTACACAAGGAAGAAAATGCTGGCTTGGGCTTTAGCCTTGCTGGAGGACTTGATCTGGAAAACAAGGCAGTAACTGTAAGTGTTGGTCATTAAATTTCAATAATTTAGCATAAATAAACATTTTTCATAGAGAAGATTGCATCCATTTATATCTAATTTCAACAGAACACCCTTAACATGAAGCGCTCTCCTCTTGACTAGAATTTCAGTACTTTGATAGCTAGGACACATCTATTTTTCAATGCTCTTTTCTAATTCATGTCTGGTAAGTCAGCCCCTCGTTTTTTACATGTCTTGGATTCTTCCACAGTGAGCTCTCCCCACCATAATTCCATATTCTGTTTTGCTTCACCTGAGAATTTTATATGCTTCTGTTCACCTTTCCATTTGTCAGCATCTCTTGTTACATTCTCCATAATAACAAAATAAATAATCCCCCAGGCGATTACTAACCCCTTATTTTACCAACAGCAGGTCTACATACCCTAGAAACCCAAGTGAAGAGATCTCATGAATAGCGTCTCTGCAAAATATAAGCATGTACCAAAAACGGAAATATTAATTGGGTGGACCGACCTATTTATGAACATTGACAGTTGCTTAAAGATCACATATATGTTTCATCTTTTTTACATCATTACCTTTAAATAATTATATTTATCCTGCCCTCTTCAAAGCATCTCATGTGCTAATTTGCACAGTACACTGTGCACCTAAAAGAGAAGTGGCTGTATACGAACACAAAAACATACATTTTCTTTTAGCTTTGCTCTTCATCTCCTCATGGAAATAGCTGCAATTGTGCTTTGCAAGTAATGTGTGTATAGTACAAGGGACCTTTCCACCACCACCCCCTATTCATTAGTATTCATAGTGGCAATCCACGGCTCCCCCTTCCCCCTCTGGACAGTATATTGTGTGCAAAGGCGGAGCTGCTCTTTACTGATCGTGTTACAACGAATAACAGGGAGGGAGAGAGCTGGTTAAAGCCTAATTACCATTGAACCCTCGTGTCTGACTAAATTCCTGTGGAGAACATTTTTAATTTTTAGGCTTCAGGCCCAATAAAACCTTCATAAAAAAAGGAAAAAAGCCTGCAATGTGAGTCATGAACATGTGCACACCCTCTGCAACATTCCCTTGGCAGCTTTATCATTACTGGTCAATGGGTGATGAATATTGGCAAATCCAAGTAGGCGTATGTGCTTGGATTCCCTATATCTCCCAATTGATCCTCATTTGGAGAGACTGACCCTCTTTTGGAATCAAATCCCTCCGTCCCTCTTTCCTCCTGAGTTGTTCCTCTTTTTCATCTGATTTATGGATCTCTATTAAAAGCAGGATTATTCAACTATCAAAAGTGTTTTACTGCACTAAACTTTTATCTAACCTGTAAATTATTCCATTTGTTATTTTGAAATAACAATTAAATAATAACAATAAAATGCTGGGAAAGGTAGTGATAACAAATCGGTTTTGTCTTAAACCAATCAATTTTATGGATTAATCCTCATGGTCTGCGTTACTGGAGGCATGGCAGGTGCGTGTCTTTTGCCTACATACTTTGTGTAATAATGTGTCCCTCTTTCCCATGTAACAATTTTAGGAGGTATGGTTAGACCACCAAAGACACTTAAAGTGACATTAAACCCTCAGATTTTTTAACATAAAACAATACTGGTAATGTGTTCCTTACTGTAATCCATGATTGCTTCTCTTCTCTTTGCTGCTCTTCCTTTTAAATCTGTATCTGTTCTCATGCTGGGCAGAACTTCTGTTTTGCAGCAGACTGAGGAATAGAGGAAGAGGGCCTGAGCTGAACAGGGAAGTTCTCACCAAGCATGAGAAGACATGAGGATTTAAAAGGAAAAGCAGCAAAGTGAAGGGAAACAACCATGGATTACAGTAAGGTACACATTACAGTATTGTTTTATGTAAAAATCTGAGGGTTTAATGTCACTTTAACATCACTTTTTTTCATGGAAATATGACTCTTTGCTCAGGTTTGTGATGCACTGTTGTGATGTTGTGCTCCCAGTCCCCGGAACAAAAATACTTGTTAACAGAATTGCTTTATTTCACAGAAGTCTAAAAAACCATTGCTCGTGGTCATTTAGACCCATTTTGTTTATAAAACAATTGACTTTTTATAATTGCCACATTCATTAGTGCCTTTAATATGGCTGCACTCCACAATGAGGGGAATTTATCAAAACTGGAGCTGGCAAATTCTGGAGCAGTTGCCCATGGCAACCAATAAGTTTCTCACTTCAGTTTGTTCAGTTAAGATTTGAAAATGAAAGATCGAAGCTGATTGGTTGCCCTGCACAACTGCTCCAGATTTTGTCTGCTCCAGTTTTGATAAATTCCCCTCGATGCATAGATCATACTGCACTGTCCCATAACACCAAGTACATCTCCCTATACTCTGTCTCTGTGCATTTCAGGTTTAATTACTATCCCAGCAAAACATTTGTGTTCTCTATTTGTCTAAAGTTGTCCTATTGAATACTTGCATTTCATTCTCCAGGTCCACAGAGTGTTCCCCGATGGTCTTACCTCTCAAGAAGGAACCATTCAAAAGGGAGATAAAGTTTTGTCCATCAATGGAAAGTCACTGAAAGGTGTCACTCATAGTGAAGCATTGGGGATTTTACGTGAGGCACGTCTACCTAGACAGAGTGTTATAGTGATAAAGAAAGAAAAGGATGGAGAACACAGCTCCAGCTCATCAGACTGTGCTGGGACTGATGAACAAACAGCTGGAAGTAAGTGCTATATTATGATAATAATTCAGTTTTACAGAAAACTATCAGTACATTTTTGCATTATGACCTGCAAAACATTTCCTTCTACTCATGTGTTAGTACATGTAAAAAAACTGATTTTTTTTTTTTTAAGATCATGCTCTTCACTAGACAGACCAGAGTAGAAATATCAGAAGATCCTATAAACACTCTAACTTAGTAGCTGGTTTTGTTTAGAAACAAATGGACCAATAGAAGTCGGGCTATAGATGAACAGGAGGCACAGGAAACAGATGGCCACGTTCACTGAATGATGCTTAATCTGAGGTTTTTACTGTAGATGAAACTAATATGAGAACTGAGGCATGGCTCTCACGCATACCCTGTATGAGAAATTAAATACATATATAGTCAAAACGTATGTTTTAGTTTTGGATACGGTATGGAAGGGGTAAAACCCCATTTAAGTTATTTTTTTCTGCTGTCTGTGTATCAATTGGGACATTTTCCTTTGCTTCCTGTTGCAGAGACACAGCAGAAAGTTAGACGAAATTTCCCAACGTGATGGCAATTCCATTTTTAGACAGTTGTCCCGATTGAAAGATTTTTCTTTACCTCTTGTTTTGGGGACAAATCTAAAATTTTGGATTCCCCCTTTCTTTCGCAGTGACAACTCTTGCCAGTATAAAGAGGGCTGAATCTGAAGAGACAGGCAACAATGGGCAGCACAGTGGCATTGTGGTTAGCACTTCTGCCTTGCAGCACGGGGGGTCCCTTGTTTAAATCCTGGCCAGGTCACTATCTGCAAGGAGTTTGCATGTTCTCCCTGTGCTTGTGTGGATTTCCTCCAGGTACTTTGCTTTCCTCCCACACTCCAGAGACATGCTGGAAGGTTAATTGGCTCCTGTCTACATTGACCCTCATGTGAGATAGAGACCTTTGATTGTACTCTCCATGAGGGCAGGGACTGATGTGAGTGTGCACTGCGTAAAATAGTTGGTGCCATATAAATACCTGTAAAAAAATAAATAACAATAAAAATTGACTGAGGATTCCAACTCTATCATAAACATAAAAAAGGGCTTGCATATAGATACATTTAAAAGTATATGTCCAGACAAAGGTTTTTTTAACAAGGCTATTCACTAAAGGGTGAAGAGTTTGTGGAAGGCAGGAGAAGTGAACAATCTAGGACAACATAGCTGATTTGGAAAAATTCTCCAATTCAGCTCACTTTCCAGTTCAGCTATGTTGTCCTAGATTGTTCACTTCTCCTGCCTTCTCCAAACTCTTCACCCTTTTATTAAAACATTGTAAGTTTTGTATAGAGTTAGGAAAGACCAGGACTCCAGTGGGATGTTTGCTGTCATGGCAACAATCACATAAATATAAATGTAAATATATTTTTTTTTAAATGATTTGTTGATAAGGGAAGGACAGAACACCTGTTACAGTAGCTATTTATTGTTGTATGTGTCTTTGTTGCAGATGTTTCCCTCACTTCTGTTGAAACCATTGTCACTAGGACACTAAGGGGTGTATTTATAAAAAGTTCACCAAGCCAATGGTTCTGCAAAACTTACCTTTACATATGTTGTGTATGAATAGGGCAAAATAGACAGGGTTACCCACAAAGCTGCCGAAGGCAGCCAAGTGAATAACCGTGCCGAAGTGAACAGAGTCGAACGAGGTTCGGCTATTCACTCCGGCTCAGAATGGCTGATTTCAACATCTGGATCGGCTGAGCCAAAGCTCCGGCAGCTCGCTCGCTGCCGTTCACCCCTATTCTCATAGGGGGAGAACGGCAGTGACTGAATAGCCGAACATGCTCTGCAGAGGGACTTCAACTCAGCCGATCCAACATCTGGATCGGCTGAGCTGAAGCTCCGGCAGCTCACTCGCTAACGTTCGCCCCTATTCTCATAGGGGCCTAACGGCAGTGAGTGAATGTCCGAATGGCGCCGAGCGGCATTCGGCTCGGCTATTCTGCTCGGTACCTCTGTGGTACCGAGCAGAATAAAAAAATACGTGAAAAGAGTGACGAAAAAAGGTTGAAAAATTATTTTTTAAATGATCAAAAATAGGAAAATTGAAAAAGAAACAAAGATATTTTAAAGAAGAAGAAAAAACAATTGGGCAGAGCTAGCAGTGACAGCTAGCTGTGACATTGTGGCTGACTCGGCCCAGTTGTTATTGTTTAATGACAAATCAGCGTCCCCAGGTTATTTGGGGACGCTGATCTGTCATTACAACTGGGCAGAGCGAACCGTGAGATCACAGCTGGCTCCTCCCTGTTGTCATTTGCCGCTTCGGCTGTCACTTCGGCTCAGTCAAGCTGAAGCATATGCCACCCATAGAGCAGCCCTTCATTTCGACGGAACCGAACGGCTCGGGCAAGCCGAAGAGATGGGGGCGTATTGTGGAACCTGGCCTTGGGGCGGCAGGGGGAGTAAATCCGGCCCTGCCCGAGAATGTTTTCTTTTGCAGTAATTATCAGAAAATACCACATTATGGCCACTAGATGGGGTCAAGGTGCATAGGAAACAAATACATATTGCTTATGCTCCTCAGCTCTTTCTAGTATATGGCCATAATTTGGAAGGCTGTGTGTATTATTATACAGGATTTATACAGCGCCAACAGTTTGCGCAGCACTTTACAATATAAAGAGGACATTACAGTTACAATACAAGTGAAGAAAAAATAGTAAGGAGGGTCCTGCCTGTGAGAGCTTACAATCTAAATTACCTATATATATTAGCTTCAGTACCACATACCTGCTGAGCCATCTCCTCTTTCTTAAAAGAAGCAAGCCATGCAAAGGTTAATAAGACCTGAACGTTGATGAAGTGGAGTATAAGATCAGCCATTACAGTCCATCAAACGTCATTTGCTTTGTTAATTATCTTTAATTGCTTTGTGATTATTCATTGTAAACCATACATGCTTAGCTGCATATTTTGCTTCATGTAAAATAAGTCTTATCTTTCTGCCAGATTCGGACGAGGCGGGATTTATAACAACTGTAACTCTGGAGAAGTCTATGGCTGGCTTAGGGTTCAGCTTAGATGGAGGAAAAGGCTCCGTGCATGGAGATAAGCCAATTGCCATCAACAGAATATTTAAAGGTGAAATATGATTTAGAATTTTTTACAACCTCATACTAACTATTAATGATTTCCTCTAGAATATAAGAGAATGTATAACCAAAACCTGTATTGTCTAATGATTTTCTTTCCCCATCTGCAGTGCATATCTCATGTTTATGTCTTATGTTTATGCCCTTCTAAATGATTAAACTGATCAATATATAGTATATACAGTATATTAATATCAATATTCAATTTTAAGAGAAGGTATAGTTATTTTGTTGCCATTTTTAGGAAAAATATTTTTACAATAATTTTTAAGTAATTTAAAGACTAGCTCCAAGCAAACTTAAATCCTCTTTCCAGACCCCGACCCCCCTTTTAAAAAAAATAAAACTTTAAAACATATTAAACCCTTAAAGCTCAACTTTGGGCACAATAATCTTGCCAGGGTAAAAAGCCATAAAAGATTAATTTGCCTTAAAGTGTATTTCCACTTTCCGCTGCAATTTGAGAAACCTGCATTATATGTTTTCCCATTCTCTCAGCATACCTAAAAATATTTTTTTTACATATGTCTTACTTGTCTAGCTGTTTGTTTGTAGCAGGATTGTACTGATACATAGACAGGACATTTTTAGTAGTTAGAATAGATGGCATTGGACAGATATGGGGACAGACTGAGAGCCAGTCTATTAAATGCCTTGATGGCATGCCTTGACAGTCTTTTAAAGGCCAGTGGTGGCAAACCTATGGCACAAGTGCCAGAGTGGGCACGCAGTGCCCTCTACTGGCACGCAAGCCCAGGTCCATTGGCCTGTCAGAAACCGGCTGAAACCACTGTACAGGCACCAGTATTCTACTACTGGGGCGCATGTGCTGGCTTAGAATGGCGTATTTCTAGTGTATAGATAGTAGGGGGCAGTGTTCTATGGCAGAACGGTCATCACCGCCTATCTCCGTGCTGCTCAGCATGTGAGGCTTCAGGTGATAGTCAAGTTCTGAAAACGGCAGCTGCACAGAGACTCTGATCGGCTTTTTTACATGTGAGTGACAATCTCTTAATCTGGTACTGTTTCATACCCAATAGCTCTGACAAACACGCTGTGGCACCTTTTCCATGACTTATAACGTTTATGCCTCACTCATGCAGGTCTTTGTTAATGCATGCATATCTTTCAAATAATTGTGTTTGTTTACAGCCCCCCTTAAGAGCCCATACAGACCACCTGAGAGCTGTACAGCCCCCCTGTGAGCCCACATAGCGCCCCAAAAAGCCACACAGCCCCCCAGTGAGAGCCCTACAGATTACCTGAGAGCCCATATAGACCACTTTAGAGCCCGCAGGGCCTACCTGAGAGCCCAAGGAGCCCACCTAGGAGCACTTATTGACCACCTGAGAGCCGCACAGTGCCCCTGAGAGCCCATATAGACCACTTGAGAGTCCGCAGAGCCCACCTGAGAGCCCTTATTGACCACCTAAGATCCGCACAACCTCACAAGCCCCCTTAAGAGCCGCACAGCCCACCTGAGAGCCCATACAGACCACCTCAAAGCCCACCAGAGAGCCCTTATAGACCACCTGAGAGGGTTGACACTTTGAGATACATAAGTTGGTTTAGCGATCCAGTTTGGGCACTCGGGGTCAAAAAGGTTCGCCATCACTGCCCTAGGCTGATTTATTTCCTGTACACATTTCCAGGCTAGGATGTGTCTAGGTGTTGATAATGTTAGAGTCAACTTTTAAAACAAGATTAAATCAGCAGGAACATTTCTGCGTTCATATCAGATCTGAGGAATTTCCCTGTAACTCTCTATATTAGGAACTTTTGATAAAATGAACTATCTACAAAGCATGTCAGATGGTGCAATTTGATTTCAGCTAAGTCTAAAGAAATCTTATTCTGGTTTTACCTTCTTGGAAATATGAGTTGATACTTTTAATACATCTTATGGTTACTATGATCTCCTCACTAGCACACTTTCTTTAAAAAAAATCTAATTTTATGTGGTGATGATTGGAAGGGAGGAGCGGTGGCGGGGTGTGATGGAGAAAGTGGGAGATCATCAGCCTTCGGAATGCCATTGCTGATCTTAGCTACTTAAATGTACATGTGGCTTGCATCATCATTTCTGGTACAATACTGTAATTGTATGTAACATTGATACAGAAAAACAGATGTAGGCAGCATCTGGCAACAGAAAAGTGAAATTAAAGATTCATGTTTAGATGAAAAAATGAGGGGAATAGTGAAGCAGTAAGAATGTGAATCTATGGGGCTACCAACAGTAGAATGTTATCTGTTGCAGTCCCAGATCACGGCTTAGGAAAAGTGGGTGGTGTGAGCCAACTGCAATCAAAACAAGGTTTAGATCATACTGTGTTCAGAACTTCTGAACATAAATGTTTGAAAATATGGAAATTTTTAGGAGCATTGTGTTCTTCTGTATTGGGAGTTCTTATAAAGAAGGGTATTCAATGGGACTTTTTGCTTATAATACTTTGCTTATAGAAGTATTAGAAGGTCTTGAGAGGTAGGTTCTGTACACCGAATGACGAAATGCTCAGCCAGTGTGTTGAAACGTATTCTTTGAATGGCAGTGAATATACTCTGTAAGGGTCAGTTCACACCTCAGCTTCAGCACTTTTATGCTTTTTTCAGTTTTTGAAACGGTTGTAAATCTTTTTGAGCATTTTATGTGTGTCAGTGAATTATACATTTTTGAAGCGTTTTTATGTGGTTTTTGAGGCGTATTCAGCTTCAGGCTGAGAGATGCTTCTTTTTCGCAAAATGCCTCTGTCGTACATTTACAGGCATTCCCATTAAAGTCAATGGGGCCAAAACCACTGGATTCTGCCGAAAAGTAGCTCATGTACTTTTACCAGCGACAGGCATTTGGCTACAGGTGACAGAACACGCAGGTGTCAACAGGGGCCATTGAAGGCAATGGAAATCCTCTACCAAATTAAAGAGTCTACACACCAATGACATCACTGGTAGTGAAAGCTTTATTTAGACTTAACAAGTGCCATGCTGTGCTACCTACGGTCCGCCTCTCATTGACTTGTTTCAAGTGTGGGTGTGAAAGAGTTGAAGTGTGCCTAATGCCAAAACCTTTATTTATTGTTTTGGATAGGGTGTGAAGGGGTTAGAACCCCTGTCAGATTTTGATTGCTGTTTTTGTCCCCACTGGGAAAATTTATTTTATTTGTCCTGATGGCCATTGCCATTGGGACTGGAAGTGAGGAAAACATTTTGAGTTGCCTGTGAAACATGAATAGATGGGAAATTGTCAACAAGACAGAAAATTAAGGAAAAATCTAAATGAGTTTAATGCGTATTCTCTCTCTCTCTCTCTCTCGCTCTCTTCTCTCTCTTCTCTCATAAAGTTTTGACTTTACATGTACTTTAAGGGAGTGATAGCAGAGGGAAATAAAGCTCTGTGGTTCCCTCTTCCCTTGGTGCCCTAAACAAAAACTTATCTTGCTTAATGGTTAATCCAGATCTAAAGACGTAACGCCATCTAATTTTAGAGACTTTATTGCAGCTACCTATTAGGACTGGCTAAGACGGTAAAACTGTCAAAATCATTATAAAACAATCCTTAATAAGATGATTGCTATATGATATTATGAAACGGCCCTGCACAAGTTCAAAGTTTATATTTACTTTTTATCACTGTGATTCAGCATTGGAGAGTAGCATTGTTTTCCTCAGTCAGTGCTAAAGTAAGTAATAAACATAGCTAAACCTGTCTCATGAACTTTGACATTTACAGCAGAACTAACTTGATATTTGTATTTTAGGTGTGTCAGAAAAGAATGATGCTGTTCAGCCTGGAGATGAATTGCTGCAGTTGGGAAATATCTCTTTGCAGGGCCTCACTCGCTTTGAGGCCTGGACTGCCATCAAAACTTTGCCCAGTGGGCCAGTTCAAGCTGTTATTAGAAGGAGCAGCATCGCTGGCTCAGTCAATCAATAAAAATCTCAGCATGGACGATGATAAAGCTTCCACTTAATGAACAATGCTTAACTGGCATCTTGGCATGTTGTTGTTGCAATAGGGCAGAATTCTAACAAATGCGACCCAAAGATGACTGGAACCAGTCAACCCAAAAATAATATTCTAGTCATGGAACCTGGTGGGCTGATACAGCTTGTAGCTTTTTATATGTTTTAAATGCACCCAACGGCAGGATCACCATCATAATTCCTGACTCTGTTCCTGTTCAACTGGGTGTTCTTTTAGTAGACTTTAGGTGACCATAGATGGTTTTCCAGAGCACCCCAGACAACGCGCATACTTGCCTCTCTCTTGTTAGCTGAGGTCTTTGCAGTGTGACAGCTGGGTGCCACACAGTCTCGTCTTAACAGTCTTCACTATCGGGTCCTGCTGAACACACATGACATAAACTCCATTTCTTCCAATGGCAAATTCATACTTCACTTGCCCTGATAGTGTATGAACCTGGGGACAGGTAAGTGTGTGCCTTGTCACATGTGTTGGGCCAGGGCACCTGAGACCACTAAGTGTAGGTTTACTAAAATAAAAAATCAAGCTACTGTAATTATAATTACTAAATAAAACTGTGGTACTAATGTTATGACAAGGGTGTAAATGTAAATTAATGGAACCATAGGAAAGGCATATTAAGAATATAAGACCCATAAAACACTGTGTAAAATTTAATCCAACAACAAAGATCTGTACAAGGAGGAGACAGTCGTATATATTTCATTCATAATGTTTGTCATCTCATCCTTACATACAAGTTATACTTTTCAGCTAAGTGGGGATAAAATAGTCCTAAGAGAGAAATCAGACAACAGATTTGGATTAGTAAACTTATTTTTTTCTAACTACAGTACTAATTGTGCACACCTCATATTTAGATTTCATAATGAGGCAATCCTGAGAACATGGTGGGATAGGAGGTGGTGTTTCAATCTAGCAGTAATCCATTTGACCATAAAACTGACTCGTGGGAGATGTGAGTGCTCATAGCTTCCTTAGGTCTCAGCAGCAGACATTGGCTTGTGGGCCTCACCTTAATGACAGTAAATATGAGATAAATAAACTGAACTAGCAGATCTCTTAATCATTGTTCATATAAATAAAGAAATATACATCTCTGATACTTTCAATGGAGAAAATGCCCTAGTCTTAATCCAACCAAACTCCACCAAGTTTAACTGTATTTAGATGGATCACACTCAACTTGGGTAGTCGCCAAAACACAGGTAGCCCCAGCTAGGGGTTTTGGGGATTGAGAATTATCAACAAATTTACTTGGGTGAGCTCTGTTTATTATATTTAAATACATATTTTTTCATCTTTCATTTCAGCGAAAACAATATAAATCAACAACAATTTAGGCAGAGAATGAATGTACCAGATATAATTAGCAGCTGTCACATTTTATTGACTTGTATGAATGTATCAAACTGAAACTTAACAGTGCCATAAAATTTTGCAATAGGTATGATTTTATGTAAATTAGCTTTTTGGGGCTGCAGATGGCGCCTTTGTATGTTCCGCTGCAACTCAAATTAGTCACATTCTTTTGTGCTTTGTGTACAGTTACATAAAAAGATATAGTTTTCTACTTTGAAGCCAGTAGGTATAATATGTGTGAAGATTGGATGCAATGGAATGTCTGTAATGGACATAATCAGCTATGGTGTAATGAAAGATAGACTTGTACTGAACATAGGACACAAGAAAACCTATTTTCAACTCTTGTTAGCTAAATAACATTTAAGGTTTTACAGGCTAGCCTAATCTGACTGGATTCTATGTTTTACTACACATCATTGCTATTTGTTCTGCCTTTTTAAATATATTAGCTTGATAAGGCATTTTAAGGGCTTGTGTCGATGGGCAAATTGCAGCTTGCTTTGAGGTGCATTCATTTTATATTGGAGATCAGTTCAAGACACTTCTGACATCATTCACACTTTGACAGTGCATTCGACCTGCATTGACTTTGTTTCAAGCCGCATCAACCTGCTTCAAGCTGCTTTTAAGTTCTAATTGATTTTTATGGGAGAAAAGTAGTTTTGACACAAATAAAAACCCTGAAAGGCATGCGTACACAGGCCCTATGTCAGTAATTTTCTGAGATAGGAAATATTTTAGCTTGCTGACATGTCCAACCTATTAAAATGGCTTTAACTTCTGTTTATACCGTAGGTACAAAGTATTAATTAACTAGAACTATAGGTTTATTTTAACTAAGGTAATATACCAAGTATGGACAAGGTCATCTTCATTTGCCCTTACCTCATGTAAAGTATGCAGGCTTTTTTAGTAAATCTGTTCAGAGCAATATTGATCAAAGTGCACAATCCATAGTATTCAGATGTAAGTTTACGATCAGAGAAAGGTTTACATTCACTGTTTGTTTTTGTACGGTTTTACACTAGGGGTTCTGTCATTGTTTTTTGCATCCGACTACTGAGTGCACAAATGTCTAAAAAATGATTTGGCTGTTTGTAGCTATGGACATACATTTTGTATAGAAGACAGTGAAATTACTGTTTGATTTATGTTGAGCATAATTAGTCTTTGAAATGGAGAGGGAGAATAGTATGTTTTCAGAGCTACTGTAGATTTTATTAAAAAAAAATGGTTAAGTGCCAAAATCATCCTGAACTTGTGTGGTAATCTATACGCACTCCTCTATAAATGTGACATTATGGCTGGGTTCACACCTAGGCGTATCGAATATGCGCGTTTGTCATGTGTTTTTACCACGATTCGCAAACACGCGTTTCAGAGCTACTTGGCTGTATCCCAATGGAAACGTGCGACTAAAAAACACCCCAAAGAAGCTCCTGTACTTCTTTGGGCGTAGGGCATTTTGTAGCGCGTTCATACGGCCTGTAATACGCCCAGGTGTGAACCATACCCAGAAGAAATAATGGGATTTCGGTGTTTGAGCTTTTGCAGAGCGTTCAGGTGTGAACCGGGCCTTACACATTCCGATGACATACGCAATGCTTTACATGGTTAAAGGGTTTTGTATTTTGATATATTATTGTTTCAAATAACATTTCTACTTACTGTACATCACTATTGGTAGTTGACAAAGTACCACACCAACAGCTTGACATCCTAGCCATTACAGACAGCCTTATAGTTCCACTGTTCTATCAAAGATTGTGATTGGGTTGGTATGTGTGACCGGTCACGTGACCACACATTTTAACGTGGTCCCGCCCACTTTTTCGGCATTGGAATATGTGACCAGCAAAAAGTGTAGAATTCCAATGCTTTCTGCACGCGATCAGATGTAATAAAATGGAGGACCTCAAATATTGATTGAAAAGGCTCAAATTGGCATCTTAGTTGTCGGATACATGCCACCAAATTGTCTGTTAGTAAGGACCTGTGTTGATCGGCTTTTGTTTGCTTCAAGTGGGTTTTATATTCCCAAACAAGACCTATTGAAATGCTTCCCATACAAGACTTGCATTTGATTCATTGAAAGAAGGAGGTCATATGCACCTGTCAATAAATTCTGAATGATTTCACAAGTGTCTCAAACTGATGTCAAACTGATGCCATCGACACAAGCCCAAAGTAGCTGACACAGGCTCTAAGAGTGTGTGTGTGTACATGTATATGTTTGACTGTTATATAAAATATTTACAGGTAGCACAAAGGCTGTAGATAAAATATGAACTACTTCCTTGCAACATAAGTGTTTTTAAAAAACTATCTGCATGATGTTTGTATGCCTATGTTAGAGTGGGTTTAGGCTAAAGCATAATGGCAGTTTACCAGGCTTAGCAATGGTGTCCCTAGACCCCCCCGCCACCTGAGGTTAGGGGGGAGTTGTTGATGTGGCTGTGCAGGACAAGACCGGGGGGTGCTGGTGGTGCAAAGCGGTGGTGTTAACTCCGGCATCACGCCCAGCTCACTGACTTCACTGGTTGCCACAAACTAGGCGGGACCTACCAGAGTCTCACAGGTTCACTGGAGACACCGACCAGAGTATTACAGAGCTCTTATCAACCTGGGGTGCTTTGACAGGCAAGGCGGTTGACTGCCACACCTGATGCCCCCTGGGCCAAAGAGATGCTGCCTGAAGCAATCGTCTCAGCCTGCCTCATTATAGGGATGGCCCTGTGGCTTAGTTATTACTAAGTATATTTTTGCTGTAGCTCTACTTTGGAGAGCCTAATGTTATTAACATTCTATGGCAGTACTGGGGCATTTTTGTTCAAGTAAGTTAAGAGTGAGAATGTTGTGTGCCTGTAAATGGGATGTTTAGACTCTTAAGTATTCAAGCATAGAAAATGGAAACTTTAAACACATGATAAAAGTTGCGAGCAGAATGAAAAACATAGATGTAACATGTAGCCAATGTACTTTAGTGTGGCTATACACAGTTCTTTTTTGCAAAGAAATGATCTGTTCACTATGTGGGTTTAACCTAGAAAAGTAGATAAATCAATTTGGGTCCAGGCTGTGCAGTGATCCAAAATAACTATGAAGAGACATATCAACCCCTGTTTTTTTTTTTGGTGAGAGATCTGCTTGTGTATGGCCATCCACAGGCCCCTCTGTAGGCAATAGGTCTTCCATATATCAATGTATGCCTTACATGTAATAGAGCTTTCTTACTGAAGCTTAAAGCTTACAATGCAATAGCTGGACCACTTTTTAAATTGGTTCATTCATTTTATGGTACATGAGCAGAGGAATGTACAAGGCCAAATAGCATACTAATACGACTTGTAAATGCCAAATTAACAACTTCTGCAGCGGTTCACACAACAGCAGTTATAAATCTATCTGAGCTTTTGTACATATGACATTGCTCATGTGCAAACATGTTAATGAATATGTAAATACATACTATATTTTTGTTTTGCAATTGAAAATAAAAATACTAATGAATGGTTGTGTTTATTTATTTCATAGGACTCTTATTCTCAGCTTTACTAAAAAGTGTCATTTTAAAGAGACGTTTTCATGAGAAGTCATCAGAAATACAGTAGTTCATGGACTCCTAATAGCAATATCATAGATGTCACTAGAAAGCTGCAAGAGATCATAGACATGGGGAGGCAAAACCT